GGAACTCCATATTTCGGCGGCTGCTATTTCTTTGACATATACATCCCGCCCACCTACCCTGCTGTTCCTCCCGTGGTGAAATTCATTACAACAGCGAATGGTACTGTTAGGTTTAACCCTAATCTATACAATGACGGTAAAGTTTGCTTGAGTTTACTTGGAACTTGGCACGGCGGTAGCCAAAGTGAAAAATGGGATCCCAATAAGAGTTCCATTTATCAGGTATGAAATTTAAGTTCCAATTGATATTATTTAGTAGTTAGTATTTACCATGTCTTTGCTCTTTTGAATTACAGATTCTTGTGTCGATTCAAGCCTTGATTCTGATACCCAACCCCCTACAGAATGAGCCGGGTTACGAATCGTTCTCCGCGACACCAGAAGGTATCAGTAAATCAAAATCTTACAATTCGACCATTGCTTTCTCGAATATCCGCTCCGCCATTCTTGGGAACTTGGTGAACGCTCCGGCCGGATTTCAAGATTTAGTTAAAAAGCATGTAGCGATGGTTGGACCGTGGATTGTGAAACAGGCGGAAAAGTGGAAAGAAGAATGGGTCGAAGGAGAGTCTGATTCTCAGAAATGGAAGAATCTAATTGCAGAGTTGACTGAGGCGGTCGTTAGGCTGCGAGAGGAGAGCGGGTTCAGAGACGATGAAACACAAATGGATACCAGCGTTGGAAGTTAATCAGACATATAAGCAAAGCTAGCCTCAATATATTATGTAATTTATGTGACATATGCAACATCCCTCTAGATGTTCTTCCCTCAACCAACCCGAGTGATGCGCCGCGAACAAAAATTCTGCCCCAGCAGACTTGGACTCGTTCCTTCACAAACTTTCATTCCCCATCTCTACTATTTGCATCATTGACCTTTTCCACATCGACAACAATTAAACACTTGACAATATATACACAGAATATACCCAAATGGATTTATCCGGCGGACCGCAACTCAATATTGGGGAACTCACAGATCATGAAATTCGATTTACACTATCAAACACAGATTTAAGGTTTGTGTTCATCTCTTCACTCCCTTTTTATTTCGCATTATACTTTGAACTATTGGATATTGAGTGGATCAGTTATGATTTTGAGAGTTTAAGATGAAATGGGTGCACTCTATTCGAGTAGCGATTTATTTTCAAGTTTTTGGTGATTGGAATAGTTTTGTTTATTTCAAGTTTGATTTGGTGGCATTCGATTATTCGTATATTTCGTAAACTCAAGATTGATATTATCATAACGGAGAAGATTCAATCAACTGACTGACTTCTTTTTTGTGTGGATGGTTTTTGTCAATTAAAATAATAGCGTCGCTAATGCTTTACGACGAATTATGATTGCCGAAGTTCCGACGATAGGTACGCTATTAATCGCTTAACCAGCATAACTCATTTCGAATTGCAACACATGAATAAAACAAATATACGATGGAATGTCGAGTGAATTCATCTAACTGGGTTTTGATTTTCTTCATTTAGCCATAGATTTGGTTGAAATAGAATCGAATACCACAGTTTTAGCGGATGAATTTATAGCACATCGATTGGGTTTGATACCGTTAGACAGTCATATGGCTGAGCAATTAAGATATACTAGAGTTTGTCATCTACATTTTTTCTAAATTCACTCCTCACAATTTGAGTTTATTTCGTGTGAAGAGATCATCAAAATGAACACTTGGCTAACATTCTTTCTTGTGTGTTCTCCCGTCCCGTTCTCTTCTTGAATTATGATAGGAATGTGTGTGTTCGGAATATTGCCATCTATGTTCTGTCGAGCTAACTTTGAATGTGCGGTGTACGGATGATCGTACAATGGAAGTAACAAGTAAAGATTTGATATCGAGTAACCCACAGGTGCAACCAGTGTCATTTGGTAATTTATTTGTTTTATTTACAAAGTCTTCAGAAAATCGTTCTTTTTACTGAATTACTGTTATTCGAACGTACGTACTACGTTGTGTTCATACGTCTTTTTGACAATTAGGCGACGGCGATCCTGGTATTTTAATTGTCAAACTTCGAAAGAACCAAGAATTGAAAATTAAATGTATTGCCAAAAAGGTAATATTTGCGTACTTTCTATTTGCTTACTTTCTATTTGCGGTACACTTTGATCAAGTTCCTGATGAATATTATTTTCCTTGATTTAGGGAACTGGCAAAGAACACGCCAAGTGGTCGCCTTGTTGTGGAGTTGGTTTTGAGTATGATCCACATAATAAACTGCGACATACGCAGTACTGGGTTGAAGAAGATGAAGAACAGGAATGGCCGAAAAGTGAGAACGCAGAGTTAGAGCCGGCTCCGATACCGGGAGAACGTACGTCGCGGGCGATTTCCGTTTTCATTGCAGCACAAAATAGTGATATTCTAATACTGTAATTTTTTGATCTTTCTTAAATCGTGATAGCATTCGATTATAAGGCCGTCCCCAATATATTTTATTTCGGACTTGAATCAAGCGGCTGCATGAAGCCCGAAGAAATTGTCCTTCAAGGATTGAAACAACTCCAAGGAAAACTTTCCGTCGTGAATCTAGGATTAAGCCAAGAAATTGCCGACATGAACAGACCACCTGGTGTTCCTGCGCCTGGTATGATGGGAATGCCCGGAATGGGAATGGGTATGAATGGAATGACGAACGGAATGGGCGGTGCAGGTGGGTATTATACTGGCGGTAGAGTGAATGTAGGTGGGATGGGTGTAAGCGTTGGTGGAGTTGGCGGTGGTGCAGATTGGGGCGATGTTTGGAATACTGGTGGGGGCGGAGGCGGTCACAGTGGACCGAGATGGACATAAGGAGTTCTTGTGTTAAATTCTCCTAATTGAGGGAGACCAGATGTATCAACTCTATGTCTGAGAAAGAGTGATAAATTCAAGAAAGCAATATATACTAGGGATATATTTGTTTAGAACTTTCCTTCTTTTCACACCTGTTAAGTTGACTTCCACCTAAAGTCAATCGGTAAACAGAAGACAACACTAAGCTACCTGGCAGCTAAATTTTTACAACGCAATTCAAATATTATCTTTTAGTCGTTAAAGTATGGTACCTCACAAGTCTTCCAGTCATTAGATAGCGCCAAGTCTGTAATTTTCGCACTGGAACACTCCATTACTGACCTCTCAAGTCAATACCCTCCCCCGACGAAGATGAAGTATCTTCTGCTCCGGAATCAATTGAATCTATCTCATAAGCGACAATTTCCTGGAACTGGCCCCACAGTTTCGGTACCATCCCTATAAAACCTTTCATTTTATCTTCCCATTCTTCGTCACTCATTATGTGTCTATCTTGACACATCAAACAGTCCATAAACTCTTCCATCGATTCTTTGCCCAGTCGGTGCTGGATCATAAAATTATCCACAGTTTCAATAAACTTGGGATACCGTGATGGAAAACTCTCCATGATATAAGGGGGGATAGAGCGTAAACTGGTCACGTCTACATGCGCGTGTGTGTGGTAGGCGGGGTGATCTTGGTATTCAATGTTGAGGGATTCTTCGGATACAGATCTTTCACTGATTGCCCTAGTTTCTTGGTTGACTTGAAGATGATCTTGAAAATAAAAAGGATCAAATGGATCGTAGTCCGCGTCTTCGATGTAGCCGACTAATTTGGTAAAATTGTCCCATAATACAGGGTTTTTCTGGGCAAGAACACTAGAAAGCTGGGCTAACCAGTTCTGATCGGACATTTGAGAGCGCGGAGTATACAGCGTTGATAGGAACGAGGGATAGATATCACATAGAGTGGTTGAAATGAGTTTGAACAAATCTTCATTGTATGACACCAAGTCTTTAATTTCGGTGGCGCGGTCGTCGGCCAGAGCTACAAGGATTTCGTCGGAAAGAGGTTCAAGGGTAATGACGTTGTCGTTATCGTTTTCGTCAGGTTCAGTGACAATGATATCGATAGACGATGAGGTGGATGTGGTTGGGCTATAGACAATCGGTGTAGAGATCTGTTCAGGGGCTGAGTCGTTCAGTGTAGAGGGGTCAACGGTATCTGATATGCCAGCTGATGAGTTCAACTTGAGTTGTTTTTCAAAGGATCCAGCAAGGTTGTCTTCTGAAAGCGGCGACCTTGACGAGCTTATATCCTTTGCCAGTTCTGTGATGGAGGGGATTGCAGGAGGGTTAGTGGACGAGGGGGATTCATGATTGGCATTGGGTGGGGAATTTGTAGAGAGCATTTTCAGATTAGCAGGGGAGGGGATTCGACTGATAAATGAATTACTTGAATAAGCAAAGAACAAAAGAGGTGTTCCAGGAGAGATAAATTTGCCGAGTGGAATGAATGGAAGGAAGGAAGGAAGGGAATGGAAAGGCGCTGCTGGGGCGAGTTTTGCCAGTGAACCACACAATGCAATCTGCTTGACACACCAGTGAACGGGTGAACCGGCAGCAGAGTGACATCATCATTACACTATGGACTATACGGAATCCACTCATCACTATCCATATTCATATCTATAATCAAATATATCCTCTCTTATGAGCAAATTGTCATTCCCTCAATCAGAAAGACTTTAATTCCGGTCCTCCTCTATGACATCGCTCACCAATTTAAACCTACAATGCCCATTCCTTCCATGCCATCATCAGATCCTCACTGATAAGGATTTAAAAGCCATTGTTGCCCCACGCGAACTTGAGTATCAGGGATAGTGATGAGTGATCTAGGCACACAACGGACTTGGCAATTAACCATTCCATGCGAATGCCCCAATAAATTAAAATAATGCACCCTAGTCGAGTACAATGAAATGGAAGATTATTCCGACAGGTTTGTACACCTCTTGCTCATCAGAAGTTGTGTGGATAAGTACACATTGTGCAGATTATATTGCGTTACTTGGCATCTCAGAGTTTATAATTCTCTCGCAGCCATAGCAAACGACAGCGGTGAGCGAATGTATGAGGTCTCGGAATGTGGGTGTCATGAGTTTGATATATAAAAACAAAATGCGAATTGTACATCTGCCCGGGTAGCTCAGTTGGTAGAGCGTGCGGCTTTTAATCAATACGAAAGTATGTTTGAACGGCCACCGCAAGGCCCTGGGTTCGAGCCCCAGCTCGGGCGTATTTTTTCTTTTCCGTCTGCCCGAGATACCATGAAAAGTGTATTTTTTGAACGGATATAATGATATCATTTGGATCCTGCATGTTTAGGTCCATTTTTACAACAAGAACGGCCGAAAATATTGTGCAGAACTTTTCAAACCGCTCAAGCCCCAGCATCACCGCTGGACGTGAGGGTCATCCACCTTCATTCATTCCACATTATTGCACACCGCAGGCATCAAGGAAAACCTACATTAAGTGCCCTTGTCAATTGAATAAAAATCTCTGCAAACTTTTCAACGAAAACAAGGATATAGAAACTATCAAATTCAACATGGCGGCCCGAGCAGATCAGGTATTGTTGGGCGTTTCAAAACCCATGGCACCGCAAATTAACATTTCAACCTTTTTCCTCTTTTGCCCTTAAAATTCGTTAACATCCCAACCATATACAAATCTATCCGTGCGTCATTCTGTAAATTGCTACATCTTGTCTCTTTTGAAAACTCGATTTTATTCGCCATCGTTTGTTCTTGCCGTTAGGGCCTCATCAAAATGATACGAGAAGTGAGTAGTTCCGTCCGTCCAGTTAACTACAGCGTTTAATTAAAACTCAGACTGACAGTTTTATCACACTAATTTCATTTGAAGGCCACTCTCTTCTTTTCTTCTCCATTTATACACCTCGTAGAGCCATATTATAATAATATTCATCAGTTCGTCACTTCAGCCAAAACCCAACGGTTCCTCTTGAAATCCATTATTTTTGCTTTCTTGTTTTTCTTGTTATTCGCTATCGCCGTCACAACCTATGCTGTATTTTATTGGCTTTATGTTCCTGAAATCGTACACAAGAGAGATATTTACATGCAGTACAGGTTTGATAATTGTTTTATTGCCGTATAAATTGATTTTTGAAAGATTGAACTAAAAATTTGCCTTTTTTTTTTGTACGGTTCTGTTATGGAATTCTGTAGCCGGGATCCAAATGTAATTCCGACTGGACATCTGCTCTTGACACCTGATCCTTATGGATATGTAAGTTAATTGGATCTAAACTTTGGCCGTATAATTGTAACCTCTAACAGTCTCTATGCCCTTTCTTTCGCACTCTCATCCTGGATGATTTATAGCTTCTTGCACCCAACCAACCCTACGATATCTCTCTCACATTACATGTTCCGCTATCTTCAAGTAACATGGAACTCAAGAATTTCATGGTTACCGCTGCTCTATTGACTTCGCAAAACGAAACGCTCTATTTCGCTTCTCGTCCCGCCACATTAGTGTACCAATCCCCACTCGCCCGATACATGCAAACAGTATTCTACGCTGTTCCATTAATTCTCGGTTACAGTAACGTTGAATCTCAAACATTTCAAGTTCCGTTAGTCGAGAATGTTGTTTCCCCGCCTGACGTCAACGATCCAAATTACCAGACTCACATCCGTCAATGGAAATACTATCAAGAAGTATTACCTGATTTTCCATCCCCACCTTCTAGTCTCAGCAGTGTTTCTATTGATCCTACTAAACCCAAACATGCGACACAAATCGTTGTGACGTTTTCTGATCCGAACCTCAAAATCTACAAAACAGTGCTCAATTTGGATGCGCATTTCCGTGGATTACGTTATTTCATGTACTATTGGTTCTTTACTAGCGCTTGTATTGGTGTGGGTGTTGTCATGGTTTGGGAAGTCTTGTTTGGATTGGCATTTTGGAGAGTGATCATTGGGAAGGTCGGAGTCGAAGAAGTGGAGGCCGAAGAAGAAGAAGAGTACCAACGACGAATTCAAACGACCGTTAGACGAAGAGTAATTGAAGATGGACAAGAGATTGAGTACGAACAAGTCGTTGAAGAAGAAGGTGAAGGTGAAGAAAGTGTTACAGGGGAAGAATACGAATACGAATCAGAATCATCTCAACAACAACCCAACTATTCTTCTGAATCTTCTTCTCGGTTACCATTATTCCAAGAAGAGACGGAAGAAGAACAAGACACCGAAGATACTGAAACTGCGCAAGAGTATGTCCAAACTACAAACTTTACTCGAGGTGTTCCAGTTGGAGTGATGGCCCAAACTACCGAAACTGAGACCGACGAATCAGACAAAGAAAATCAAAACACATCTACTTCTGCTAGGACTACCACTGCGAAACCTACAACCACGGGTGCATCAGTCGGAGTATCCAGTGACTCAATGAGAAAACGAAAAGCATTCTCTGGATCTCTCGAATCATCTCGTGGATCGTCACCGTCTCGTCCGTCTGATCAACCTGGACCGTCGTCTTCGACAATTCCCTCTAGACCTAAAAGCGTAGAAACACCGAAAAAGAATATCCTGAAAGAAGAACATTCAGTAGAAGATATTAAAACCGAGACAAAAAAACAAGTTACGCCCGAACAAGAAGATGATCAAGAAGTTCAAACTGGATCTGGAAGCGGGGATTCAGAGAATGACGTCCAATCAGAAGGTTCTATAGTCGATGTTGGTAACGCTGGGGACGTACCGGAAGATAAACAAGGGTAATTAAGAAAATCATCAAGTTAGTTGTCACCTCAATATAAATGGTACAACAAGTCAAAGTCGAATGAAGTCCTTGTTATTGGTTTTTTTTTTTGTTTTGTCTGAGTATTGAGTGCATATTATCAAAGTTGTAATAATTTTTGTACCCTTAATTAAGAATTAAAATCAAGTTTATCACATGCTTTTTTAGCATAATTAGACACAAAACCAAATATAAAATATAACCCTCTGCCCAGTTTATCATGACAATACGTATAGTAATGAATATCTGTACCTCAACAAAAGACTTATTCGTACATCCAACTGAATGTTTTAACAAGGGTGCCATCTAATTCCGACTATTTTGAGTTGCAATCAAACAATCAATACATCTATACAATACAACATGCAAATATTATGAATACGATATGAACCGGACAAAATCGACGGATATAATTTGACCGGGATACCAAAAATGAAGCATCGACACCTAACTTCCAACTGTCACGGGTACAACTACATTTTTTACTTCTTGTGTTCTCCTGTTCTCATGACTCTCATCATGAGAGTGAGCAGCATTTTGAGGAGTCCGAGAACTCATGGGTGGGATGGAATGCGAATGTGAATGAGAAACAGCGGTAGATGAGTTAACTCCAGACTGTTCAGGTGCATAGTTAAGTGGAGGAAGTGGTTGGTGCGAATGAGTGCGGGAAGGAGGATGAGGTAGATTGGAGTTGACAGGATGTGATGGTGGACTTGGAGGCATACTGTGTGGGTGTGTGGGGCGGTTGATTGAAGATGGATCAGGTCCGGGAGGAGGGTAGGATGACGGGAACGGGGTTGAGAGGGAAAATGACGGAGGGAGCGGATGTGTAGGGTATGGCTGTGAATGCGGATATGCGGATTGCGGTGGGGGAAGTTGGTAAGAATGAGGCGGTTGTTGAGCATGCAAATTACTAGACTGATACGATTTCGGATCAAGAGGCGCTGTATATGAATATTGAGCAGGAACAGCAGGGTGACCAAAACCGCTATTTTGTCCGGAAGAAGCTATCTGTGGCTGATTGGAAATATGAGGTACGGCACTGGGTTCCTGTTGGGTAGAGAGCTGAATTTCACTTTGCACTTTTTCTCGCCAGCTAGTTACTAGTTTCAACCAACTTTTATCGGAGGCCAAGGCTGTCTCGAGATACGCGATGCGTTTCTTAATATCATCCTCATATTGATCTAACACATTCAAGTAATCTCTTTTATGATCAGCTGGTGCTTCCGACGGTGGCGGACCAGGAGGCCAGTACATTGGTGGCGGCCGATAAGATGGAGGAACAGCGTAGGGTTGCGGAACCGGTGCAGAGATGGGTTGATGGTGGGGTGGGTTAGGATACGGGAATGTATGCGAACTGTTGGAGATAGAAGGATAATATGTCATTGGAGGAAGCGTAGTTGGCGGTTGAACAGGCGGTAACGATGACTGAGCGGTTGTTGGCTCTTGATATGGAGGTAAGGGTGAACTAGGCGGTTTATTATCACGTCCGTGTGATAGCGGTTCCGCAGTTAGGGTAGGGGTACTCATTCCTGATACATGCTGAGGGGAAGAGTTCACAGAATCGGCAGGCGATAAAGGACTGTAAACTTGTTGTGATGGGTTACTTGTTGGGTTTATGGCGACATTTGTATTAGGTTGACTCGTTGAGCTGCTTCGAACTGACAAGTTCGGCACATGATGAATCCTAACACTACCGTGCTCAACGTCGATATCTCGAGTGCGAGTTTCATCTTTTCGCGTGGAAACAATAGTATTCTGCGAGGAGACATTCGGCAGAGGTGACATCGATGCAGAGGAAGGATGTTGACGGGGTGGCACAGACGAAGTGACTGGTGCCATCGATAAGGCTATGAGGGCATCCTCGACACCATGCGTGAGAGGAATATCCGAGGGAATTGATACTGACGGAGTTTGAGAGGCATACGTGCCGGCCGGAAGACGAGCTTGAGCTGAGTCAGTTCTTTGAAGTGAATGCGAATTCTCCATATTTTTGACTGGAAATGACTTTACACCATTCGCAGCACCATAGTCACGACTGCTCGAGCTATTTCCCCCGTCACTCGCATGATTCAGAGTTTGACCATCAGAAGGAGAACCAATCTCTATAGTCTTGTTTCCAAGGCGTTTTCGTCTCTTAATCACAGATTTCTTTAAACTTATCGGTCGATGTTTACCATGCAGCTTGTAGTACAAACCACAGGCGTTGCAATTGATGTTTCCTTCAGCGTCCCTCCTCCATAGGGGGGTCGTCGTCGTTTTGCAATTGAAGCATTGAATTGGTTGAGCAGATGAATCCAACTCTTCAGCGGCGGGGTCCAAATCAGCATCGGTACCTCCATTCTTGTCCGTGGCTAAAGCGTCAAAAGTTATTAGAATTCCATGAAACAGCAAATGAATTTGAGACTAGGATATAAAAATTATTACCATATTTCTTTGCCTTGGAAACATGGAATAAGTGTTGGT